GCACGTCAACAATCCTGGCCCCCAATTTCCCTCCCCCCGACTATAGTTCCCCACAGAATCCAAATGGCAGGACGTGTCTTTCGAACGCCGGACGTCCAGCACGCGCTCCATGCCTTCCGCGATGCTTTGGATGTACCTGCGCGCTCTAGGTGTGCGAGACGCCATCGAAGGCGTCTTGCACACCTAGAGAAGACAACCAAGGCTTTTCCCCACCACCCTGTCAGTGTCTACACAAAGAAAAAGAAAGAGAGGAGAGAGCCTTGCCTGGCAGCGCTGCAGTACCCTGAGGGTGGGCGGCCGTGCCTCGGCCAGGAAGTCCTTGAGGGCGAGGAAGGTGGGCCGGTCCGAGGGGGCGTACGCCCAGCAGTGGAGCATCAGCTGGTAGATGTCGGGCGGGCAGGCCTCGGGGGCCGGCAGCCGCTCCCCGAGCTGGTCGATCTTCTGCAGGATCTGGGCCCCGTTGAGCCCCACCCAGGGCTCCTGGCCAAAGCTGAACATCTCCCACAGGGTCACTCCAAACATCCACGTGTCGCTGGCATGTGAGAAGTGCCGCGACTTGAGGCTCTCAGGGGCGCACCACGGGAAGGGCACCTGTGTGAGGGACGAGCGGAGGCTCAGAGAGGGGTGCGGGCCTGGTCGCGCTGAGCCCTCAAAGAGACACTCAACTCCCCCAAAAAAATTCTCTTTTTCATTAAGTGCCTGGATAGGACGTATATGACACATAATAAACTTCACACCCCCTCCCCCTCACCACTAACCCCCAATAAAAATATGAAGAATATTAGTGCAATATTTACGATGTTACACTCCCCATTTTGAGCTAGGTACAATTCCAAAACATGCTCTTATTTTGGGACATTCACCCAAAATAGAAGCATGCTTCGATTCGGTATCGCTCAAATGACTCGCGCGACGTGAATGTCGCACTTTCTGGACAAAACGGCGGCTTGGGCAAGTTGGTTATCCATGTCTCAAAATAACAGCGCAAGTAGGGAATCCACACCAACACACGTAGGCCACAAAAACAAACACACTTAAAGGAGCGGTGCAACGATTTTAACGTTGAAAGAATTGGCATCGTCTGCTTTTGATATTGTTCACCTTATCACAAATGACAGAAAACACACCTTCTTTCATCGAAATGTTGTGATTCCACCGCGTAATAGCGAGGCAAATCTTAGAATATTCCCCGACCTGCAGCCGTGAGCGGCGCCATGAGAAACACGCAGTGCGACGTCAATGGGGAATCTTGTAGAAAAATAGCAAGCTGTGCGAATACCTGCTCGATAAAAAATAACTTCTATAAATCTTGTCGTTCCAACATATATATAAATGCGTCAAAAACCTGGTATCATCGAAAAAACCTTTATCATACGGAGTTTTAGTGGCGCCATCTATCCTAGGTCCACAAAACCATCAGCTCTTTCTGATACCGCAAACAGCCACCAGAAGCCAAAGGGGGAGGGGGACAGGGCCGGACGGGTATGGCCGGACCCGGATGAGACTTTCCTCCTTTCACCATATTGTTCGCGCGGCGCCTGCCAGCACGTGGTCACACGGTCGCGAGCGGATGAGTTCTCGCTGCTCACTGATGGCTCTAAAGAGATAACTTTTCCGGAACCCCGTGCCTACCCCATCAATGTCACTGCGCACGTGACCCGGAAGACGACGTACGAGTTGAGGGGCGGCAAAAACCTGGATATTTCTCATTTTTTTTAAATAAAAACTAGGGTATCCAGGCAAAATCTGTTTTCTGTAGTTCACTTCAGAAGCGTCAGGCAACAACTTCCACAATACTTTAAGTAAAGCCCTGAAATTGTTGCATAGCTCCTTTAAGGACATATTCACAGCAGACAAGACACTCGCACAGCACTGACTCACAACTCAATCTCTATTTTTGCACTTCTCAGGGGTAGAACTCATGAAATGTACTTGGGAGAAGCCACGGGAGCAGCTGAAACAGCTGTTTCGGCGCAGGTTGGGAGCAGCTAAAACTACATTCTGGAGCAGTCTAGGAGCAGCTCAGATCAGATTTTATTGCACTTCAGCTTGTGTTGTAGACAAGCATGGGAGCTATTTCAATTGTGCTTAGCAGCACAGATGAGCATGAGTGGTTCAGAACCTAGGTACAGATGGGATAACAGTGTAACAGATGCGAAAACTTGGCCTTAGTGAGAACCAAAAAGCAAGGACCATATGCTCCTGAAGATAGTATCCTTGATATTTCCTGACTGGCTTTCAGCTGCTCAAAATGCAAACCAGCACTGCTTATAGCACAACACCAACGTGCTCGACATAGTAATTATATGTGCGAACCACGTGACGTGTGTAAGCAAGATACGTGCAGTTGTGCAAAGGAACAGGGCAACAAATTTTGAGTTTATCCTATTCTACAACTCAATATCAAAGCAGCAGACTATGATTAACGGAGTTGTCGTATGCGAAGCGGAGCAAGATTAAAGTGCGCCGAGCAGATACACCTCTCGGGTGACAGCTGCTGGCCGGCAAGGTTTCGGATCGGACCGCGTTTCAGTTCAATCAAATCACGATTTATCTTGCAGGAAAGTGGTTCCAACTTGTAACGATGAAGCACTAAAAGGAATGTTTTGCTAATGTGTTTTTAACTGGTTGACATCTGGAACCCGGGCCGCAGAGCCTCAAGCAATCTGACGCTTAACGACTCGACCTCACCTTGGCCGACTTGCTGAACCGCTTACGGTTGAAGAATAAGAATTCAGTCGCAGGTGATGCAGCGCTTGGAATCCGACTCCCGACTTTTTGCGCGCTTCCGACTCGGGGTACAGGGAAAATAAACGGAACGAAAAATTGAAAGGCCGACCAAGCTAAACACGTTTATTGTTGCCAATCGAGTCGATAAAAACCGAAACCAAGACAAAATAGAATTTATTTGGCGCACATTGTGCGATTTCGTGCACAATGGCGCGAGGTATTGGCTGTGGCGCAGTTTCCGCAAAATGGCGCAGGATGGCGCAGACAAATGCATCTGGCGCAAAATGGCGCAAATGGCGCAGCCGTTCCACCCCTGACTTCTTTTTCTTTTACGCCTTTTCGATACATTCGTGAAAACTGACTTCTTTTTCTTCTACATCCCATTAAATGATACTCATGTGAGCTAATAAGATAAGCTAATTCTTTCTTGATAAAGTGAGCGATGGAGTGCTTACACATTGATAAACTGAGCGATGGAGTGCTTACACTTGATAAAGTGAGCAATGGAGGCCACAAAAACATGTTTGTTTTTGTGGCCTACACGTGTTTGTGTGGATTCCCTACTTGCGCTGCTATATTTAAGTTGCACTTTCTCTTGAAGGGGGGGAGGGCGGTTGTTTCAGACGGGGCACCTTTTTCAGCAATTTTGGGGATGCTGGCAGGTTGTTCCCTAGCTTTCCCTAGATCGACACAAATTGCTGAGATTGGGTCCCGCTTGAAACAAGCGAGCAACTCGGGGCAACTCAAACATGTTTGAAGCGGCAGCAGGCCAATCAGGGACACAATATTTTGGGGGAGCAGGCAGGTGAAGAGAGGCAAAAAGGCAGCGAAGATGTTCTCTACCCAAATATGGGAGGGGGTGCCAGACAATGCCAACTGGAAGTGCTCCTTGTTTCTGTTGAACCTTATGTGAGATCAAAACTGCCGTGTGGTCCTTGAGTCTGTGTGAGAAAGTGGCGGGGGTGTTCTGGGGAGTGGGGGTGGGGGGGTCCTTTGTTGGTGTCGTGCCGAGGGCCACAGGCGGTCCACAGGCTGTGGGTTATTGACCCCTGTCACAGACCATGAGACAAAAGGCTAGGGGTACACCTAAGCAATCCTTACAAGTTGTGAATGTGAAAGCATGCATGCCGCCCTTCCGCTCCCATATTTCGTCTCCGACTTACTTGCGTCGAAAGTCAAGCACGTGCGCTAGCTCTCCTTGGCACGCTGACCTTGGGCGTGGAGTGGTGGAGCTGCTGCCTCGCGGACACACAGCGCCATTGGGTGGAGGTCGTTAAAACTGACGCGCAGCGGTCAATGGGAGCCTCGTTTATTGAAACTATGATGAGTGCCAGCGAATGGGACCGAAGCCAAAACCCATCAGCTTCATTCCGCTCCTTTGGGATCGGGGAAACTAGGTGCTGTTTGGCCAGGCTTTTCACATGGTTTCAAAGCTGGGAGCCGGCTTCACTTGGAGAAATGAGTTTAGGTGCCGTTTGGCGCGGCTTCAAAGCTGATGATGTCAGCTCGCTCCTTGAGACAGTTAATGCTTTCGCATTAATAACTTTTTTGGGGTTGGCTGATTGATGGTTGGCTAAGATAGTCCCTTCATTTTCTGTTATGGGGCACATGTGCAAAGTAGTATAAAGATAGTCGACCAAGCCTCCTTTGAAAAGAAAACATCAGTTGCTAATTCAGATCCAGATTTATGAATATTAAATATTTTTGGGATAAATTCAAATGACAAGAATATTCACCACCAGGTGTCTATCAATTATTCTTGGGTGCCATCAGGTGTCAACAATATTTCCGAGGTAACTGATCTTTGATACCAATTTTAATAGAGAAATCGGCCATGCATGAGTGTAATGTTGTTGTTTCTAGAGCGCAGCTCGTAGGCGCCCATTTCTGGGTTGAGCGGCGTCGGCGCCGCCGTCGCTGTCAGCGTAACTGAGTGCATTGCATGGCAGGACGTTTCCCTGCTAAAGTTAGCGGGAAATTTCCCCGTTAAATTAAGCAGGAAAATTTTTCTGTAGTTAGTGGAAAAATTTCCCCGCTGGGAAAATTGATGTCACGTGCCCTCAACACCAACTCAGTTTCCCCGCTAAATTTAGTGGGGAAAATGATGTCACGAATTCGCGTCATGTCACCCATGAACAAATTCAGCGGCAGGAGAAGGGGAGGATGAGGAGGGTAGGAGAAGGAGGAGAGAAGGAGGAGAGGCACACCCTCCCCTGCGTACCCTGCCCTCATCCTCCTCAAGAGCTGCACTCTATTTTCGCATTACAAAGATTTCTAAATGCCTTTTTTCTTTTTTTTTAGTATGATCAGAGCCCATAGATTGATTAGTAAGAATAAAAAGCGCAAACACCAATTTTTTTCTTACTAATGCATAGCCAACTAGCCCAACAGTTAATTTTGATCCCATAGATTGAGTTATGACCATAAATAGACTATCGCAGGAAGTGGTTTAACGCCCCCTTAAGAGACCAGCACTCACAGAACACATCGGAACCAAAAGGATACACAGAGTCGTTTTCACTGAAGTGTTTACTACACACGCAAGAGGTTCTCAAATTTCGCTTTCCTGTTTTCAATTTGATAAGACATTCTTTTCTCAGTTCTCTTTTATCTGAATCATAATTAAGAAAACACACTCTATTCACCGTGCCAGATGTTGTAGTGGGGTAAAGTGCTGGATATTCTACCTTCATCATCCAACTTTTTGTACTGGGGTAGAGAAAAGCACCCCACCATCCCAGCACTTCAACACCTCAGCGCCAGAAGTGTTAGTTAGCATGACTACGCGTGCCATGGTTTCAAGCTTTGGTAAAATGTCCTACTACAAATATCACTTCACCAAATAAACACAACGTGGGAAACAGGCTTTGTTGTGCTTTACTCAAACTGTGCATTAAGCGAGCTTACGAGCTGAGGGATCCAAAATCTGCGGGGTCTGTCCCAGTCTGTCCTAACCGTGACGTCAGGGACGATGATGATGATAGCTAGAGAAGCGCTTCTTGTGGTTCACGCACGCCGCCAATAGCAGGGCCTCAGCGATTATATTCCTAGTATTAATAAAAAATAAAGTCAAATAATGTTTTGGTGCAATGTTGGCTCCAATTTATCACCCTTCGGCAAAATGTAGCAGGAGGTAGCACCGCTAACAGCCATGATAGAATGATGCATGCAGTTGTTTCACATGCCTCAAAAGGTGCTGTGAGGATGTGAAAAGAGAAGAAAAGAAGAGGTGCAATTTATAAAAAACACTAAAGCATACTGTCACTGTTGAAGGCTTCCTTGAGAAGTATCTTAAGTTGCCTTGCCAGACGGAACGTTCTGACTTTCGTGCCGTTGAATGGCAGGTTCACTGCCAAAGCATTTTATGACCATTTTATCCATACTGCACCTTGGCAACCAAGGTCTGCTTGTCTAACATTCATTCGCATGGGATGAAGATTATCTGCAAGGAACACCAAAAATAGATATTGGGGAGGAGGAGCGACCGTGACGCCCCAAGCGGTTAACTTTAGAACTACACGGATAGGGACAACAAATACAATGATTCAGCGCTCGGCCGACATAACCGAACGCAACGTCAGCGTTCAGCTGGAGTTTGTGTTCCCCGGTGAGGGGGAGGAGGGGCTCTTTTGTTTCCACTCTGGCCTGCATGAACAATGCAGCATGCGCGGTCCCAGCTCCGCACAAAAGCCGAGGTGGGTCAAGCTCGCATTCTCTGAAGATAGATCCGGCACTTCGCGTCGCTTCGTCGATCGTTAGTATTTTTTACATTAAACTGTGCCCCGCGCTCTATTGTAGAAGATGACATAGACATGCCCATAAGGCCTGTTGGCATGTGCGCAGGCCTTGTGTTGAGTAAACACCGAGGGTGGGGAAAACAAAGGGGTCAGAGCGCCCCCTATAGTTCGATCTCCTACCCAATACTGTAGAACCCTTAATGTTAGCGAGCCATTAATTTTTGCAAAATTTAAGGGCTCGCGAAAATTTCAATGCTTAAGAGTTTCAATGCAGGTGTCTGGAATTCACAGAATTTAATGGTCGCGATTATGTCCTCTGTGACCGAATCACAAAAAATAAGGGCCGCGAAAATAAAGGGTTCTATAGTAGCTTCCATTTCTTTAATGCTGACTGCCACACTTCCCCACCAGCCTTTTTTTCTGCAATGGTGACAATGTCTGACAAACGTAATCTTTCCGTCTATTGCACATTATAATGTTTCCGAAGTGAAAAACAAATCCTCCATGATGGCCCCAGCCATTTTTTTTGTCCGATTGAAAGACTGCAATTTGGCTTTTCCCCATTTATACACTGCGCTCATATCGTTCAGATATTTAGGTGGCACCCCCTTACAACTTCCATCTGCGACACAACGACCGGGATTTGCCAGACTGTGACATCGCAAGTTCTGATCCAAGCTACTTGTCATCAGTTGCGATGACAAGTTTGATGGTTTGCGTAAAAACACGGTTAAAATTAGGAGCCATCACATTCTTCACCCAACACCGTTGGAGTCTAACAGTGGTTATACGCCTATCTATTGGCCAATCGTAGAAAGCCGACCACAGCGACGCTTTTAGTCGCACACATCGCTAATAGTCACTGACAAGGCGGGAATGGCAGGGCTCAGCTGTCCCACCTTTAGTTCGAGTGCTTGCACGCAGCAAGACAATGTGGAAAGCATGGAGCATGTGCTGGGGGCTGGGCATTCAAAGAATATGCCCTGCCACTCTCATTCTATAAGAGACTATAGAAAAAATTCTTTTAGTGGGCTGTTGTCATATTATGACATCCATCTCTTTCTACACCTCTGTTTCTTTTCTATGTCCCTAGCAGGTGTTTCACCTCCTAACAAAGAAGCAACTGAACACAGCAGGGAGCTTAACAGTAACAATAAAGAAAGAAAGAAAGAAAAAAAAAAAGAGTGTATCGGTTTTCTTGTTATATAGACAAGTTCAGGCTCAAAGATGAAATGAAGCCGACATATGTCATTTTAAAAAAAATTTTAAAGGGATTTCAAAGAGGTTTTGATAAGATCTCAACCTGCTCTAACACACTGTCTCCAGAAAAAAAAACAAGAAAGTATGAAAACTGTACTGTGAAATGTTATTGTAAACATGTATGGCAGAAATTGCTGCCAAGAAAAATGTAAGGTGTACTGCAGAAGGTACAGTCAAATGTCAGCAGGATGACATATCATAAGCAGGATGATGCAATGTCATATTCCTTTTCTCTGGTTACATCATGACAGCTCAGTTTGTTTGTAATGGTGGTGACCCACTTTAGTGACGAACTCTCACTTCATTCTCAATGTTAGCAGTGCCTTAGTGTTATTAAACATTAGAAGTACAAACAGCAAGGAAAAGAAGGGGGGATAGGTCAGAAACAAATTCAAAACGAATTAGTCGTTAGTTGTTTATACAGCAGGAGTTTAGTCTGTCAGAACATGGCAGCATAGTTACCTAATGTAGATAAGCAATATGACTACTGCAGTAAGACTGCTAGCCTGGAGTCCTTCACGTGCACCACGCAGTAGTGATACATGACCGAAGCCGGTATGATGCTCATCCAGATCAAAACAGGCGGGGGTGGGGATTGAGCCCAGGATCCCCGAGTTCTGCATCGCGAGCTTTCGCTCCACGTGCTCTGCGCTGGTGTGCGCTAGCCCACTTGGCTACCAATCCCCCAGGACAGGACAGAGCGCCTACTCCAACTGGGTGTTTAATCCATTCACCAAGGAAGACAAAAAACAAATAAAGAAGTCCCATCTTCTTTTCCTTGCTGTTTGCGCTTTTGATTTTTAATAATGTATAGCCAACTAGCCCATCATTAATTTTGAGCCACAGTGTTAGGCTGATGGGATATGAGAAGTTGGAGAAATAAACCAAGCAGGAATGGGACCTTAGAGAAGATAAAATGGAGGAAGCCATGACTGGCACAAGATGTCACATAATTTGGTGTACTCATGTCCCCATTTGTTCTGACATGCACTTCTGTCGACAAGGTCCACAGGGTCGACAAGCTCTACAGCAAACGAGCTCTACAGGAAGAATTCTGTCAATGGCCAAGGACACGATCAATACTGCCCTTGCAAGTTACCTTCTTCTGCTCCGTCATGACGTAGCAGTCCTCATGGCTGGGCAGGGCCCTCATGAGGCCGAAGTCTCCGATCTTTACCGTGTCGGCGCTGGCCAGCAGCACGTTCCTCGCGGCCAGGTCCCGGTGGATGAAGTGCCGCGACTCCAGAAAGGCCATGCCGTTGGCGATCTGCACGGCGTACTCGACGAGGCGCGAGACCGGCACGTGCCGACACTGCTTGCGCAGGAAGTCCCGCAGGGAGCCCAGCGACGCCAGCTCGGTGACCATCATCAGCGGCGAGGAGAGCACCACGCCGTAAAGCTGCACCAGGTTCGTGTGGTGGAGCTGGTGCATGGCGTTCACCTCCTTCATGAAGTCGTCGAAGGCGCCCGGCTGCGACAGCGCGTCCTCCTTGAGGATCTTGACGGCCACGGGCACCACCCTGCCGTCGGGGGTGTCCCACTCGCCCTTGACCACGACGCCGAACGAGCCGTCGCCGAGCTTGCTGGCCAGCGTCACATCCTTCTCGCTGATGAGACAGGTGAGCGCGGCGGTGCCCGGAGTCAGGCCGTTGCTACCGACGGCGGTCGGTGACAGGTGCGAGGTCGGGGTGCCCCCGCCCTTCGCGGCGGACTTTGCGCCCACGGGCAGGAACTTGTTGAGAAGGTTCTTCTTCCACTGCGACGCCCTGTGCTTTTTGACTGTGTCCAGGAGCCGTCGCGCGGCGGGCTTGCCCATCCCGATCTTCTCCAGGTCCTCGGGCTGGACAAAGTCGAAGTGTCGCGGACGCGTCACTTGGAGATCGTCGCGGACCTTCATGAAGAACTGCTCTAGCTGCACCTCGCGCAGGATCTCGTAGAGCCACTCGACCCCCTGGTCGTCGTCGGAGTCGCACCGACTTGTCGATTTCCTCAGAGAGCTCATGATAGTAATGGGGGGACGCGTCTACCTGTGTAGCGTCACGGACAGTCTTCCCCCGAACGGCCCTTGCAAGTTCCGTAATCGTCGCATGGCGGATAGTTATCACCTTTCTTGTCTCGACGAGGAAGCGGATATCTTTTCTGAACAACGCCTCTCCATCGAGCTAGGATCTTTAGCTTATGAAATGACAGATATAGCGGACATCGCGCCGCGATACATTCCGATAACAACGACGGAGCGACATCGCGACATGGCGACATAAGCACATAAGCAACGGAACCGACGGAACTGACGAAACCAACGAAACCCAGAACTGACGAAACGGGTGGATAAATAAATAATAATGGCCATATCCTTCGTAATGGGCGGTAGTTTCCGCCACCTAGGTAAAGTCTGAAAAGGCAAACAAATGATGCCTTCCGTCCCTCTTTCTAGTATTCACCCTGCGGCCATAGCTGTGTGCGCGACTGCTGAGCGCGTGCTGATGGCTAGCTTCCAGGGTTCTTTTGCAACGTGCATTCTACACCGTCGTTCTGAGCATGCGCTCTAGACAGCACCCACAAATATTTGCGTCCAGTGGATACTCCTCCATTAGCGTCATAGCAGAGAGGGTAAAAAGAAAAAAAAAAAAAAAGCCCTCCCCCTCTCGCCCGCACGTCGTCTGCTCCGCCGAGTGGGCAGTACCTAGCATCCGGCTGGCGTACAAACTGTTTAAAATCGCGTCATTCTGGGAATTTCAAGCGCAGATACGCAGATTTTGGTATGCCAGTTATCGTGTATTACTATGCTAGATAAAAAAGACTAACAGAGTTCAATTGCGCTGTTATCTGCATGCAAAAAAAAAAAAAAAAAAATAGGGAAAACTGTGTCAGACTGGCCGGTCCCTCCGGCGAAAAGTGAATCCGGTGGCTGTTTGCAGCAGCTGCGCATGGACGCCGCCATAACTGACCTTCAGTTTTTGTTTCCTCTTATTCCGTTTATTTCACTTCATCTTTACCATAGCAGGCCAGGTTATTGCCACATTAGATTCAACTGTGCCCTTTTCTAAAGCATCGGCCTTTGTAGAGGATCGTCGAGTACCGTTTCAGTTGCTCGGCATCTCGGTAAGACAAGAGAAGGTCAGCAATGGCGGCTGTAATTTGGCGCGTGTGTAAAGCGTCTATACAAAGTTCGTACTGGTGTAGGCCTTTAGCGACCATCAGAGCCGTGTATTGAGACTCTGGCGACCATGAGTGGATGTCTGAAATAATAAATAAAAACGTGCTCTCCTGCTGCAACACACGCAGTAGTTGAGGGTAGTACTGCCGGCTGACTTAAGTGCTGTTTAAGTAACGGAAAAAAGATATGTCAGTTGATCATTTACGGAAGTAGAACAACAGAGAGTTCTAGGCTGATTTTGGAGTAGCCATAACTGCTCTAAGAACGCGAACCACTTCACAACGGCAGCCACGAGCGAGAGTTCGATGTTCCGTACAGCCCGCCGATACAGCCCAAAGATGGAGAATGGCAACCTCCCGTTTGGTCGTCTGTTAGCGGCGTTAAAGCGGAGTCGGGCGCGTGCACTGATCTCTATGTCTATTTGCTGGATCGCGTTTGACCAGCTCCTAGGGGTGTCGCGAACCGGCCGCGGTTCGAGTTCGACCAGGTTCGACTTTTTCGACCTTTTAGTGGAAAGTTCGTCGAACCTTGTATTGAGGTTCGACTCGTGTGCGCATGCGCGACAGGCTGGCCAGTTGGCTTCGGACTGGATGGTAATGGCTAAGAGATAAATTAAGTGCAGCGCTGATCGGCTATTTCAGTCAATACAGTACTAAAATTTAAGTTATTAACTTCTTCAGTAAATAGAATTAGTTTCTTTTAATTGCAGTTGTTCACACAATAAAATAACCCTTTGCATAAAAAAAGAAATTCTCCAAACCTAGACATGCTTGTATCAAGGTCTGGCCACACTGTCCACAAAGTCGAACCGGTCGAATTTGGTGAAAAGTTCGAAGGTTCGTCGAATCGGTTCGACCCAGTCGAACCCCGAAAGTTCGACCAAACAATCTGGTTCGACAAAAGTTCGCGACACCCCTACCAGTACCAGCTCCTCTTACCAAGGAGGTTAGAAGTACAGGCTTGGGCGCGCTCCGTCCGGTAGGTTTTATCAGGTTGAAGTCTAGACTGTGGTGTATTCTAGTACCCCACAGCAAGACGAAGTCTAGCTACGGTCACGTGATGTGGTCACGTTGGCATGGTAAGTGAGGAGAGTAAGGAGAAAAATGAGAAAGAGGCGAGGCGTCAAGGGAGCATGGCTTGTGGAGGCTACGCGGCCGACGTCATGCCCTCTCCTACCCTTCTATTCTCCATGCCTCTTATCAAGGAGGTTAGAAGTACTAGGAGGGGGCACGTTGCAATATTGGTGAAGCCTAGTCATAAAAAGTTTAAACGATTTTGTGCCCAACGTGACCGCAGATCTCTCTGGCGATTGGTGCGCGTGACATGTCACGTGTGAGATGGATGGTTGATTGTAGAAGGACTCCTTGCAGGCTTGGGCGCGCTCCGTCCGGTAGGTTTTATCAGGTTGAAGTCTAGACTGTGGTGTATTCTAGTACCCCACAGCAAGACGAAGTCTAGCTACGGTCACGTGATGTGGTCACGTTGGCATGGTAAGTGAGGAGAGTAAGGAGAAAAATGAGAAAGAGGCGAGGCGTCAAGGGAGCGTGGCTTGTGGAGGCTACGCGGCCGACGTCATGCCCTCTCCTACCCTTCTATTCTCCATGCCTCTTATGGACCGGAACACTGATCTCTATGACAATTGCTGGATCGCGCTACCCCGCTTGTTCGCTGCAGCGCAAGTGAAGCCACCGGACTTCACTCGCTTGGGATACGATTTGCCGTTTTTGCTAGCCTTTGCTGCGGTTTTCCAGCGTGCTGTGGACACGTTTTCTACTCGTTCGTCGTCATTCGCCGAAGAAGGTTTTTGAAGACTCTGTGTATTGTTGAGACTTGCCGTTGTGAACACGTGGAAAATTTTACGAAAGTGCAGTGTCGCAGGAAAAAGGCACAACGCGTCGAAAGGAAGAGCTGGCGGCGTGTTCAAAGCTTCCTTGGCACGCCGAAGTGCCGTGTCTCTGTGCCTTCGCACGCTTGGATACCGACCAAGAACCGACGCCGTGTGTATGAGTCTAGCGAGTGCAATGTGCGTGAAGCTGTTCGTGCCTCTGGATCAGCGTCTTTTCCCCTCGCGGTTTAGGAACGAGCTTAATCCAGCGTCCACTAGCGACGGAAGATGGGGGAAGGTATGTCTTTTTTTCGTCCTTAGACGATTTACACAATACCGTGCACAACAGCTCCTCATCACTGATCAGTGCTGGCTTATTATCAACCTACTTAATTGCACTTGACGTTTGAGCGCGGCTCGCCTAATTGTAATTGGTCAGCAGATTGCACACGACCATATCGGCCGCGCTTCAAAGATTTTCATTCTCGCCGTCTTGTACTTTTGCTTTCGAAAACCCCCCTGGCTCCACAACGTTGCCCTATTCGTGCTCCCACGGAATCTATTAGAGTAGATTTGGGACATAGCCATGGTTAATATAGTACATAAGAACACGTACAGATCTCTCCCTTTCATTGATAGCAACTCACCGGAACAGCTGGACGATCCAGAACTCCGTGGCCGATATATATAAATGATCTAAAGGCTTCTACGCGCGACACACGTTCAGAACTTTGGCGCGGCGTCAATTCTTGACCGGTATCCAAGCGTGCGAAGGCACAAAGATGCATCACTCGGCGTGCCAAGGTAGCTTTGGTCACGCCGCGACACCGGCGACACTTGTTTTCGACGGGTTGTACCTTTTGATACGGCTTCACGCACATTGCACTCGCAAAACACATCCACACGGCGTCGACTCTTGGTCGGTATCCAAGCGTGCGAAGGCACAGAGACACGGCACTTCGGCGTGCCAAGGAAGCTTTGAACACGCCGCCAGCTCTTCCTTTCGACGCGTTGTGCCTTTTTCCTGCGACACTGCACTTTCGTAAAATTTTCCACGTGTTCACGACGGCAAGTCTCAACAATACACAGAGTCTTCAAAAAACTTCTTCGGCGAATGACGACGAACGAGTAGAAAACGTGTCCACAGCACGCTGGAAAACCGCAGCAAAGGCTAGCAAAAACGGCAAATCGTATCCCAAGCGAGTGAAGTCCGGTGGCTTCACTTGCGGGAGCGGCAAGCGCGATCCAGCAATTGTCATTGAGATCAGTGGACCGGAATGCAGTTACTGGCGGCCATCTTGAGGTAGAGTTATATCATCTCTAGTCATCATAGTAATATGGCGGACAGCGCAATGGCGGCCGGGTGCCATAAAATAGCCGTGGATCTAGTACACTGTACCGTGGGAGATATTTCGTGCTTGATTCGAGTTGGTCGACGACGCAGACTCTTGAAACCCGGCGTGAACGGTAGCCTCATCTTTGAGGACCCGGAGAAAGTTCTACGAAAGCGCAGCACCGGGGGAAAGCAGCGCAGCCCGCATCGAAAGCAGACTCCGTACCGGCCAACCGGCGTCTGCTTTTGATGCTAATTTTGATGCGACTTTCGATGCGAGCTGTGCTGCTTTTCCCCCGGTGCTGCGATTTTGTGAAACTTCCACCGGGTCCTCAAAGATCGGGCTACCGTTCACGCTGGGTTTCAAAAACATGTTTCGTCAAACAATTTTAATCAAGCACGAAATATCATCCACCCTATTTTGACGGCATCCTGCCACCACACCTGCCAAAACGCTGTCTGCCATGGATGAATTACAGTGGCTGCAGGAGCTAGAGGTAATAAAACTCTACCTAAAGATGGCCGCCAGTGACCGCATCCGCAGAGCGGTGTCGCGAACTTTTGTCGAACCAGATTTTTTGGTCGAACTTTCGGGGTTCGACTGGATCGAACCGTTTCGACGAACCTTCGAACTTTTCGCCAGATTCGACCGGTTCGACTTTGTGGACAGTGTGGCCAGCCCTTAATACAAGCGTGTCTAGGTTTGGAGAATTTTTTTTTTACGCAAAGGGTTATTTTATTTTGTGAACAGCTGCAATTAAAAGAAACTAAATCTAATCACTGAAGAAGTTAATAACTTAATTTTTAGTACTGTATTAACTGAAATAGCCAGTCAGCGCTGCACTTAAAGGGGTCATGAAACGCTTTTCCAACTTTTTCCTGTTTAGCTTTCCTCCTCAACTCATAAATCGCGCATTCCACCAAAAGAGTTAAACAAGACGAAAAAGGGGAGACCCCT